GTACCAGCAGCACAGAGTACCAGCAGCACAGAGTACCAGCAGCGCTGCAGGAACTCTTGGTTTACTGGAGGACTCACAGACACACTGAAGGTCTGGGTTCCCAAAGTGGTTTTCTCCACATTCATCACACTGTCGTCCTCCGAACTCTGCACGGCACGGACACTGACCGGTCACCTGAACAGATGATGATGATGTCACCATTACATCATCATCCTCATCATCTTTACACTTACTTTTCTTGTCATTAGTTATAATTTTTTTTACTGTTTACAAATTCTTGTTTACTCAGCATTTACTTTTTATGATAACTTCCTGTTTACCTTCTTCATCACTTCCTTTTTAAAGTCACCTTATTCTTCTCTACTTGATATTCACAATATTTATCAGTTTAAATTTGAATTAATATTCAGTCCACTTTTTGTTAACTTATTTTCAGTATCTGTTTCCATCTCCTGGTTATTTCCTGGTTATTTCCTGGTTACTGCTGGTCTGAGTGACCTTGCCTTATCGCAGACACTGGAGGCAGAGTTGAGCGGATCACAGCCACAGGCCTGACATCCCGACGGTCCCTTCAGATTCCAAAATCTGTCCTCACACGTGTCACAGAGATCCCCGGTCACTCCAGTCCTGCAGGGACACTGACCAGTCCCGGGGTCACAGACGCAGGGACTTCCCAGAGGACACTGGGTTACTTCTGTTCCCCGACGCTCACAGGAACATTCTGGTCAAAACACAAAACCCAGTGTTGGTCCTGAACCTGACTTTAGTCCGACCTCAGCCACCATCAGCTGCTGGGATCGTCCGTACCCTTGCAGTCTCGCTCCAGAGCGTTGCCGTAGAACCCTGGTTTACAGTGTTGGCACCGTGGTCCGGTTGTGTTTCCAAGGCAGCGCAGACATTCACCAGTCAGACTGTCACAGGCACCAGCGCCATCTATGTCAATGTTGTTGTTACAGGGACATGGTTTACAGCCAGCACCAGGTAGAGACAGGTCCCCGAAGTATCCGCCAACGCACCTGTCACAGCGAGGACCTGTGAAGATAAAGATAAGAGTTAGTCCTGATCCTGGGCTCAGTCAGTCCTGAACACGGGTCCTAAAACGGAGCCTGGTCTAAGTCGTACCTGTGTGTCCCTCTCTGCACAGACATGTTGCACTATGGGATTGTGGGTCGTATTGACAGGTAGTAGCAAAGAACCGTCCACTGTCCTGGACATCTGGACAGGAGCAGAGCTGACAGGACAAACCAGCAACCGGTTCTCCAAAATACCCGTCCTGGCACCTGAACCAATGACATCGCTGGTGACGTATCAGTGTGACTCTTTGCGTTTAATATTTTGAAGAACTAGCCGTGGTACCTGTCGCATCGCGGTCCAGCAGCGTTCAGCCTGCAGCTGCGACACTCTCCAGTCTGGACGTCACAGTCGTCTGACAGACCGTTACAGTCGCACCGTCGACAGAACGGAAACCCCCAGAAACCTGCTCCACAGTGATCACAGCGTTGACCAGTGACGTCAGGACGACAGTCACACTGACCTGTGACCTCATCACAGAGGGGCGACACTGACCCCTGCAGGTCACAGTGGCACGCTGAAAACAACAACAACAAACATCGACGAGTTTGAGTTCCTCACATTTGTTGTTGACGGCAAAAATGTGTAAATTTAGAAAAAAATGATGATGATGTTTTGTACATTTGCATCCATCAGGTCCAAAGCCAAAGGTCAAAGGTGCACAGGCGTCACAGCAGCGGCCAATCACATTAGGCTGACACTCACAGATCCCACCCATTCTACTGCAGCTGTGTCTGACAGAACCGATGTGGTGACACCTGCAGACTGATCAGAGGGAAGAACTGGAACTGTACGGGCAGCACTGGTCCACAGTACTGGTCCACAGTACTGGTCCACAGCACTGGTCCACAGTACTGGTCCTGACAGGAACTTACCAACTGGTCCTCCATAAACTCTGAGAGACATTTTCCTGATCAGTTCCGTGCAGATTTCTGAAAGATCCACCTGTGGATTCGTCTCTCGGTTCAGTCCAAAGCAGCGAGCCGTATGTTGATCTGTCTGAGAGCAGAAATCCTGGCCCGTCTCCGTGCTGGGAATCAGTCCCATCTGGAACCCAGGACAGACAGAGGTCGTCAACAGACGTGACACCTGATCAGTGTTGAAGATTTTTAGACTTTCTCACTGAGTCGATTAGAAGGAATGATCCGGATCCGTCGGCTCCACTGGATTTTTTAAAGACCACATCCACAAAGTAGCGAGCACCTGCGTTGAGGCACAGTGTGGAGTCCAGAAGACCTTCCCTGGAGACGAAGGTACAGACACTGAACCACGACCATCAGGACAACTAGGGATGTCCGATATTAACTTTTGACTTCTGTTATGTCAATAATGGCCAAACTCTTAATTTCTGATTCCGATATCAACCAACACTGATATAGCGGGGCAGTTGTGGCCTGGTGGTGGTGATATTATCAGACATTCCTAACAACATTCTAAGACCAAAGACCTTTCCCTTATTATCAGACATTCCTAACGACATTCTAAGACCAAAGACCTTTCCCTTACCTGATGTTTTCAGGAAGAACTAAACTTTGACTTCCTGCTGGATCCCGGCTGCAGGCCTGGTCTCCAGGTGATGTCATAATGATGCTGACTGAAGCCAGCCAATCAGATGGAGTCTGTGAGAAGACATATTTTAATCAGTGATAGTGACCTCAGTATGGAGGTTTAACAGGAATTAAGAACCTAAAGTCCTGATCCGGTTCTCCTCACCTCCGTCTTGTAGTGGATCACTAAGTGATATTCCATTGAAGACGGAATATTGTCCACAGTGAAGCGAAGCCCCGCCCCCTCAGCCACCCTGACCAATCCCCAGCCAGTCCAGGTGTCAGGTTGGTCCAGAATTGTTTGACCAGGAATGATTTGAAGACTGTGACCCGGGTCCAGAGGGATGCTGCTCAGCTGTTGGACCATAGGTGGCGTGTTAGACCGAAGCTTCCTCATTGGTGCAGACAAAGTGACATCATGTCTCACCTGTCTTTGCCGCCGAGCGAGTCCGCGAGTCTTACGGATCAGAAAGATCTGGCCATTTACAAATTTAAAGTCGTAGCCCAGGCTCCTGAAGTACTCCTCACATGTGGGGTTCAACTGAAAACATACACAGGTACACATGAATACACATGATGACATACGAATACAAACAAAAACTACAAGAAATTTCAAGTCAGTACTTTATCAGTACTTCATGAAGACCACGTTCCTTACCCTGGAAGAAATGGGAATGGGAGCGTTCGTTGGAGTCCCAGAAGTCTCTGTGACCAGTGGGGCAGCGAGCTCCGCTTCATACAGGAACAGCTCCAGAGAAGGGAGGAAGTACCCGGGTGCAGGGTCAGAGCACCGACGACCAATCATGTTTGGTAAACAGTGACACTGTCCGTCTTCTGGAGAACATCTGACCCAGGAGAGGAGGCGGAGTTTCCTTAGTCAGCAGTACACACATGGACTGTGGGCTGCAGCCTAATGACTGGTGACTTACCCACTGCTGACAGCTCCGCCCACATCACAGTCACATGGTGAACAGCTGACCTGAGAGTTTCCTAAACCCCAGAAGCCTTCCTGAAATACACACACAATCACATGTACACATGTGAGATAGCAGTAGTTTATGATGGAGAGAGAGAGAGAGAGACAGAGAGAGAGAGAGAGTATACAGCTGTACAAACTGACCACACATCGATCACACAAATGTCCGGTTGCCAGTCGGTTGCATTCACAACTTCCTGTTAGCTGATCACATGACCTCAGACTTCCCATGGGATGACATCTGCACGCTGAAAACACAAAACCAATTTGAACTTGGACATAGAAAAAAAAAAAACAACTTTTTGTGTTTTTTCGTGTGAAAATAGGGATAAAAGAGAAGAAGGAAAAAAAACAAACAACTTTTTCGTGTGAAAATAGGTATAAAAGAGAAGAAGAACTTCACCTTGACATCCGTCGGGGTCTTCGCGTCTCATGTTGAAGAATCCTGGTTTACATCGATCACAGCGACGGCCTTCAACGTTCTCTTTACAAACACACTGACCCGACAGAACGTCGCACTCACTGGAGCGAGAACCTTCTGCAGAACACTCACAGGCTGGAGGACGGTAAAAGACACGCAGGGTTGAGGGTTTGGGAGTTTGTGAGCACTTCAGAGACATCATGAACTCTTTAGCTCCTTACTCTAAAGAATCTGACCTGATGATGGACACCAGGGACTCCAGTCTGACCTGTATTCTAACTCTCACTTCAAGCTAAATCCTACACCTCTAAATACGTCCACTCTGTGGGGACCTGCGAAATGTCCCCAAAAGTACAGTGGCACCAGAAAACACATACAGTGGAACCCCTAGATACTACTCCGTACTAATATATACTAATACTAACACTGTACTACCCCAGTTTAACCCGTTCCACAACAACACTCGTCTGTCAATCCACTTGTATCTCCATTGAATTCTACCCTTTAAAAATAACTAAAAAACAATTAATTCGTCCCAGCTCCAGAAATATACTATTAATAATTAAATGCCCAGCCCCAGAAATATACTATTAATAATTAAATGAACCTCCCTGTCTAAACATAAAAACTATAGATATAAACAAATATATTGATCATATAAAATATATATATATTTAATTTAGTCTTCATCACTCATCACTGCTACATCATCGTCTCGTAACTAGATATTTCCTCTTGCAATTATCGACTCGTAACTAGATATTTCCTCTTGCAATAGTTGCAGACTCGTAACACGGAACACTCGTATCTCGGGGGTCGACTGTACTTACGGATGCAGGCGTGTGGGTCGTTCATGTCTCTTAAAGGATCCTTGTAGAAAAAGGGGCGGCACCGTTCACACTGAGGCCCAGCTCTCTGGTGACCACAGTCGTCACAGACGCCACCACTGACACCGCCCGTCGCCTCGAAACGAGCTGCGTCAAAGTGACACGAGTTGGAAAGGCCGTGGCATTGACATCCTGGGAAAAGCAAACTGTTAGAAATCGATCAAAAACCTCATGAACTGCTGCGAACTATGTGTCCGTCAGGACTCACTCCTACAGATGTTGGCTGCATGTTCTCCGCCCGGCCTCCAGGGGGTGTCGTGGTGAAAATCCATGCAACGCTCACAGTTCTCTCCAGCAGTATTGTGGTGACAAACACAACGACCGTGAACCTGGAAAACCCACAGAACCCAATCATCCAAACATGAATAAAATTGACAAAATTGTTTTTGAGGGCAGGGCAGAAGGTGGGCTAAAAAAAAATCTACCATTCCTTGGTGGGCGTGTCCTCCATCAATCGGTACACAGCGATGGGCGTGGCCATTACAGAAGCAGCTTCCCTGCACCACCATGTTGTACAGAGCGTAGTAGTATTTGTTCTGGGGATCACGACGTCGACGGCTCAACAGTGTGTCACCGAGGGTGAACAGGTGAGTGAAGTTCACACGGATGTTGGTCAGTGTGATCAGGTCTGAAACAACAGCCAGAAATACAGACATTTTTAGAAAATCATGTCGAAAAATGAGATGGGAAAAAGTTGGTAAAAACAGCTAAGAGTTAGCAAACTGTTGCTAAACAGTTACAAGTTTGGTAAATATATTAAAAGAGTTAGCAAACTGTTGCTAAATAGTTACAAGTTTGGTAAATATATTAAAAAGTATCAAAAGTTAGATTGGGTACGACAAGACTGCTAAAAGTTAGCAATTTGTTTAGCCATTTTTTTTGCTAAAGTCTTTTTACTTCCCAGAAAAACACCAAATCCAACCTTAAGCTGACCTTGAACACTGGGAGAGTACGGGTTCTGGATTTCAAAGATTGGGTCAAGTGCCTTTAGCACCACCTTGTGGACAAAGAAAACAAAGCAGCTTTAAACTGATAAGGAACTACATTAAAAATGAAAAAAGCCAAAGGTTTGTCGATGTTCACCTCTCCATTAGTGGACGGTTCTGACCCGGAGTATCTGCTGTCACAGATGACATCATCCACACTGTGGGCGGAGTCAATGGGCACTGACGGGAAGTGTAGTGAGCAATCGTCAGAAAAGTACCGGAAAACTTTCCATGTTTGGCCAAAGTCCTTGGATCGTTCCACCAACATGGCCACCGGGCGAAAACTCTGAAGGGACGGTGGTACGAAAGTTACATCATCACCATAGCCTGTTTTGACCTCTGACCTTGGTCTTGTTCTTACCTTAAAGGTGAGGATCATGTGACTGAACTGGAAAACTGTCTCCAGATCCAGACGGATACTGACCTGATGGACACCTACAGGGAAAGACCCATGACTTGAGAACAGTTCCCTAATTGGTCGATTGGACAACACCAAGAATCTAGTGGTCTGACTGGACGGTTCTAAGAGTCGATTGGGGGGCAGGGGTGGGGGGGGTTTACTGCCCACTATCTGACAGTTGTACGAGTCGATTGAGGGGGGGGAGGGGAGGGGGCTTACTGCCCACTATCTGACAGGACAGTGCGGGAGGGGGGGGTTTACTGCCCACTATCTGACAGGACAGTGCTGACATTCTGCTCTCTGATTGGACAGTGATACTCACCGTTCTCCGACTGCCACCACTGCTTTTTCCTGTCATGTTCATAGGTCGTGATGATGTTGTCGATGCGGTGACTGTTCTGGTTTCCATGGCGATCATATGGCAAACGAGAATCGCAGAAGAAACACTTCTGCTCTTCCTGGACATGATGATGAGTGTGATTACTACGATTACCAACATCAACGTTATCGTCATCAGCAATATCATCATTGTCATCATCATCATCGTCATCGTCATTATCACAACAGTATCTTCATCACTTTCATTAGTTTGATGGACCTATTCACACCCGAATAGGTCTGAAGACAGGTGAACTCGAGAGTGTTCGAGACCAGACTTGATGTTTTTAATACTGGTCTAAAGCGTTCCTTCAGGCCGAAGAAAAGGCAGTGAGGGGAGAAGAGAGAAAGAAAAAATGTGACGGATCAGAACACGTTGAAGAATGAAGGTGAGAAGATGAGCCAAAAAGCCTTCAGTCACACGCAGAAAAAAAAGCTAAACAAGATTTGACAGATTTACTACAACTCCCAACCAAAACCTTCTCTCAGGTCCTCGCCTGTGATTGGACGAGGTTGGAAGATGCGCCCCAAAAGAATTGGGTTGCACAGAAAGCTCAATAAAAGACCATCAGTTGGTGGAGTTAGATTTTGTTTTTACAACATTCAGTGTACACACCTCCAGGTATCCAACGATGCAGTAGGACTCTGGTCCATCCAGACCACAAGTGGACGAGGCCCAGAGCTGAGAGGCTCGACCAATCATCAGGTCCCCCGGTTGAGGGCTACAGAAGCTGTCAGAACACTGGTCTTGATCTTCATGGTCAAACTGTGGATCCTGAGGGTCCTCAGAGTACTGAGGATAGTGCGGTTCCTGAGGGTTCTGATGGTACTGAGGGTCCAGATGGTTCTTTTGGTATCGGGGGTCGTGAGGTTCATGAGGTTGTTGGTGGTACTGAGGGTGCTGTAGATCTTCTGGGTGCTGAGGCTCTCGAGGTTCCTGGTGGTACAGAAGATAAAGATTATCTTCAAAGCCTGAGAGAGTGTCCTGATTCACTTGTTGGTGCTGCAGGTCTTGATGGTCCTGAAGTTCCTGAAGGTAGTAAAGGTCCTGAGGATGAGGAGCTGGAGGATCCCGAGGATCCTGAGTGGACTGGGTCACTGGAAGAAGAACTGGACAGACATTTCCACATGATCAGGTCATTTGTAGTTTGTATCTCGTAAACATTCAGCAGAGTGAGAAGAGAAACTACGTTTACTGACGCATGAAGATGACGATGACGATCATGATGTCCTGATGTCGGGGTCTCTGCTGGACTCAGGTCCCTGAAAAATGGAATAATTGAAGAAAAAAAGAGTGAACATAATCTTTAAATTGTGGTGAGGATGTCTGAGAAAAAAGTCTTGGACCAGGTCCTTGGTCCTAATGTCATTAAGTTTCAGTCTTTGTAGTCTGGGACCAGGACCATGTTCTGTGTGTAAGAGTATCTCAGTTTATCTCCATCTCGATGATCAGGACAAGGGTCTGTGTGTGATCAGGTCTGAGTCGATTCCTTCACAGCAGAAGTGGTTTTGTCCCGGAAGCACCTGCTGTACTTCAGCTGGAATGTTAGCGCTGGAGCGGGAAATTATGTTTTTTTTCCCCTGAAGCTGTGAGAAAAAAACCTGGAGAAACTAAGACTACAAAGACTAAAGTTGGTCCTGTAGGATGGTACCAGGATTTGATCTAATTCCTTTAGCAGACAAGACCATCATCCTGGAGAAACTAAGACTAAAAAGACTAAAGTTGGTCCTGCAGGATGGTACCAGGATTTGATCTAATTCACTTCCCTGGATCTGATTCGTCAGCTCTGATGTTACAGGTAGATGTGGTCCACCAGTCCTGATGGGACAGGTCTGATGTCATGATGTTATGGGATTTCTCCCAGCGGTGTAGGCCTAAAGCTTCCAGACTCCCTGACCCCCACCCCTGTTGGTGGACCAGCTGTGATTCTTAGAACTGTTTTTCAAAGTCACAAAATTAGACTTTTTAATGTGAAAGATTTTAACGACCACTCATGAGATTGCAGCCTGCAGATGGCGCTCAGATTGAAGGCAAATTTGACATTAACTACAGTCGTGCTGTGACTCGTGTGACTGATCACAGACAGCTAGTCTGTGATCAGCTGCATTCTTGAGGTTTAGTTTAAACATTAAAAATAATTAGAGTCTTTTAACAACTTTTCCCTCGACACTGTTCACCATCGAGGAGGTGAAGATAAAATCGACCGAAGGTGTTTGACAGTGTACGTTAGAAATGTAGTAGAAATGTTACCGTGTTTCTACTACAGAAATGTTTTCAATCTTTGGATTAAATGAGAAAAATGTATAAATGATCGTCATGTTTTTAATTTCTCCTACTGACAGAAACCACTGAACCGAATCTTCTCATCAACTGACAGACGAGCCTGAAGAAACGTGAAGAAACGTTAGTCTTCAAATCTGAAATATACATTTCAAACATTTCAACCTGCAAATGTAGCGAGATTATTAACATCATTAAAGCAATCAGAGAGTCTGAACCTGAACCTACCTGCTGCTGCCGAGGGCGAACAAGTGTGAGCTGGAGAGAGAGAGAGAGCGAGAGAGGAAGGGAGAAGATGGGAAAGGGAGAGTGAGAGAGAGGGATGGTAGAGCGATACAGAGAGAGAGATAGGGTTGGGAGAGGGATAGATAGATAGATAGATAGAGAGAGAGAGAGAGAGAGAGACAGTAGCTATAACAGGTAGAGAGCGTGTGCCTGAGGCAGAGTCTGTGGGCGGAGCCTGTTTTCTATAGAATCTTTCAGCTTTGGATCCAATGATTTTCCAGAAGCTTTAGTTTTTGTTCAGTGTGAAAAGAGCAGAAATCAGAGACGAGCCTCTGGCAGCGAAAAAAAGAAAAAAGATTGAAGTTCAGTTCAGGACAAAAAACATTTGAACCTCAGAAAACACTGACACCCAGGAGGAAAAACAGAGAGTTACAATCAAATCAATGAAAGTATAAAAATATCGGGATGATTTCATATTTAATTCTGACAAACAAAAAAGGTTCCTGAAGGTTCCGTTCTCCCTCCATAAGTCTGTTTTTTAGATGGTGTACTCAGTACAGTAGTACTGCAGTATATGGTGTAGTGTTGTGGAGTAGTGGACATCTGGAGAACATGGACTGAAATGAAGAACCTTCTGGAACCCTCACAGACAAACCGTCCTGGGTTTTTAAAAATAATATTTTCACAAACAAGATCATTAGAAACAAACGGTTTATTTTTGTTTTTATCGCAATAAAAAAACCCCCATCAGAACATTTGTGAGCAGAGGATCATGGGAGGTGTGGTTACAAGAACTGAGTGGTAAATTTCCCATAAGCCTCTGCATGGAGTCTTTTTAACCTGAAGATCTGACCACAGACTGATGGTCAATGATGTGGTTAATGATGGATTAGTGATAATCTGAACTTAAACTAGTTAGTTTAATTAATCAGAGGTTAAACTAGTCAGTTAATAAAGGTTAAACTACTACATTTCACTACTGGGTTATACTGAGTTTACTGAGGTTAGTTAAACTCATCGTCAGCGAAGATTACGTTTGGTTTTAATCCCAGTCTAATCTCCACAGACTTAACTGTGAGGCCAGTCTTCAAACACTCTCCTCTTCTTTGATCTTCATCTGAAGTTCCTCCATTTCCTGTTTTTCCTCCATCCTGATTGGCTCACAGCTGGCCTGAAGCAACAGGAGACAGTGACAGTTACAGGAGGTCAAACCCAGAAGAGTGAACGGTGACAGAAACAGAACCGAACCTGATGATTGAACAGTTCCTCCAGTCTGGTCCTGACAGAATCCTTTGATCCCGGGTCACCAAAGACCTGCGAACACCAAGAGATGTTAGACAAAGACAAAGACAAAGAACCGGAACAACAACAGAAAGGACGACGACTACACTGGTGGAACCTGCGAGGAGAGCGCCATCAGGAGGTCGACACAGTGGATCTGGTCTCCAGGAAGACTGCCGTGGTCCAGCTTCACCTTCAGTGGTTCCTGCAGCGCGTCGCAGAACTCTGACAGCTGACTGAAAACAGAATAAGCCACCGTTTAAGTGTCCATCGGAGGGCGATATAAGCATATTTTGTAAATCGTTATCAGTTTTTCCTCCGATAATTAAAACCTGATAACGCAATGCCTGAGTTTCTCAAAATGATATGACCTAAAAATAGTTTTGGGGAAAAGGGCACTAGATGGCAGCATTGCAGCTCATTTCATTAATCTCATGCTCATACAGTGGTTTGTACAGATAAATAAATAAATATTACCAGACATATATCGATATTGGAATCGGAAATTAAGTGTTTGGCCAATATCGACATATCGGATATTGGCAAAAGGTTAATATCGGACGTCCAGAACAGTAGCTATTCACCAATCAATCAATGACATTTTAGATGAGGCTGAGCTCCCCCTACTGTCTCAGAGATGTCACCACAGGAATTCATTCAAGCCCACCAGGGACCCTCACCTGGGCTGTATGACTTGGGAACCTTGGGGATCAAATCTCCTCCAGGTTTGGTAGAACATCTGGAGGTCCCGGTCACTAATCTGCTCCTCTTCGTCCACGTCAATTATTTCCAAGAAGACAGCGACGTACATGACGACGACCAGCAGGAGGCTCAGGATCACGTAGGAGCAGAAGAAGACTTTACCTAGTGTTGGGTTCCCACACTCGCCTTGTATCTGGTCACACTCTGGAGGCGTGGCCATAATGGCACTAAGGAGGAGGTACCACCCAGTCCCTGAGGACACCATTAACATGCATGTGATGCTGCTGTAGAAGGTCTGGAAGTTCAGAAGGTCATCGATCACCACAGATGAAAAGGCGAACATGCCAAAAGAGGAAAAGGTGAACATGAAGATGAAGAGGAGAAACCCAATGTTGAAGAGGGCAGGAAATGACATCATAAGGGCCTTGAGCAACTTCCTGATCCGCCGAGCGCACTGAGGACGAAGGATTAGGCGAACGGCACGTGGCACTCGGAGAAGACTGAAGATATGTGGTGACAGGAAATACTTTTCCAGGAAGTCAGAAATGAACAACCCTAATGACAGAAGAAAGTTGGTTTAAAATCACACCAGCAAGTGGCGCTAATGCTGCTAGAGAATCCTTTAGATCAGCTTACCAAAGATGGAGAAGACCAGCGCCACAAAGTCCACGACATTGAACACATTAAAGAAGTAGTGTCGTCTGAGGGCT